TGCAAATGTGAACCAGGCGAGGAGCTCACGGCCACTGCTCTTTCAGCCCCAGGCCTCTAGCTTCCATGTCGTGGGGGCTGCTGTCCCATTGGATTCAGGCCTTGACTCCATGCCACTTCCTCAGAGGGCCCTTGCCTGACCACCCGACTCAAAAGAATGCCCATCATATCCTGTCCTCTTTTCCTTCACAGCTCTTACACCAGCTGACACTTATATGCTTGTTTATTATTTCTCCCCACTCCCACCCCACTCCAGTGCAAGCTACTGAAGAGTGGTGTCTACATCTGAACAGAGCCTGGCACATAGTAGGTACTCAATACGTGTTTTTTTGGAGTGAGCTGTGAAGACATGAATCAGAGAGTAAGGGAGAGCCTACTATGTACTGGAGCTGGGGATACGATTCTGAGGGAAAGTGCTTGCTGCCTTCATAAGATATATGATCTAAAGGGAGAACATAAATAATCATGAAGCAAGGGTCAAATTTCGACTTGACCAGAGATGATCCTGGGATCTGAAGGATTGATGAGGTGTCAATGAAGTCGAGAGGGGAGAGGATTTGCATCCAGGCAGAGGGATCAGCACATGCAAAGGTTTGGAGGAGGGACAGAGAGTAAGGAGTAAAGGGACAGAGAAAAGCCATCAAGGCCTGAGCAAAGAATATGAGGGGAAATGATGTGGGGAGAGGAAGGGCCATGCTCTTCTGTCTTTATCCTGAGAAAAGTACACATTTAAGTAGGGAAAGGATTCTATTTATCTTTTAAAATTAAGTCACTAGGGGGCAGTGAGGAGAACACAAGGACAAGGGCAGAGTGTACTCTGGGAGTCAATTCAAGGATGACACAACCAACCTAGAGGCTAGATAAGGACCTTGAAGTGGGTCAACTGGAACCTGTGGAAATCGGCCTGGTGAGTGGGGACAGCCAGGAGTCAGCTGGCTCTCGCCTCACAGGAACACAAGCCCCGTGTTGCCAGTTCTTAATCTTTTTTTTTTTTTGAGTAAACTCTATGCCCAACATGGGGCTGAAACTCATGACCTCGAGATCAAGAGTCACATGCTATAGTGACTGTGCCAGCCAGGCATTAATGCAAGAAAGCTGGATTTACCAGTTATCAAGTGTTGGTGCTAATCTTGCCTTCAAAATGTTTCGAGAGTCTGACCACTTTCCTCTCACCTACACTGCCACCACCAATGTCTGGGCCACCAGCATTGTTCCTCTTGATCACTGACTGCTTTGTTCGCTCCTCTATCCCTAGCACCTAAAATGGTGTCTGGCACATAGTAGATGTTCAATAAATATTTACTGTTTGAAAGAATGAGTTCAATTTTAAGAAAACAGAGGGCAAAAACCAAAACTAAAATCAGCGAATCAATAAATAAAGCAAAAATACAAGAGGTGTGAATTCAAGCCCCATGATGGGTATAGAGCTTACTTAAAAAAAAAGGGGCGC